TCTAAAATAATAAGAGCTATTTATGACAAACCCACAGCCAATATCATACTGAATGGGCAAAAACTGGAAAATTCCCTGAAAACTGGCACAGCACAGGATGCCCTCTCTCACCACTCCTATTCAACATAGTGTTGGAAGTTCTGGCTAGGTCAATCAGGCAAGAGAAAGAAATCAAGAGGATTCAGTTAGGAAAAGAAGAAGTCAAATTGTCCCTGTTTGCAGACGAAGTGTGGCTTGTCGGTATATTTAGAAAACCCCATTGTCTCACCCAAATCTCTTAAGCTGATCAGCAACTTCAGCAAAGTCTCAGGATACAAAATTAATGTGCAAAAATCTCAAGCATTCTTATACACCAGTGACAGTCAAACAGAGAGCCAAATCAGGAATGAACTTCCATTCACAATTGCTTCAAAGAGAATAAAAATACCTAGGAATCCAACTTACAAGGGATGTAAAGGACCTCTTCAGGGAGAACTACAAACCACTGCTCAGTGAAATCAAAGAGGACACAAACAAATGGAAGAACATACCATGCTCATGGATAGGAAGAATCAATATCGCGAAAATGGCCATACTGCCCAAGGTAATTTATAGATTCGATGCCATCCCCATGAAGTTACCAATGAGCTTCTTCTCACAGAATTGGAAAAAACTGCTTCTTTAAAGTTCATATGGAACCAAAAAAAGAGCCTTGCATCTCCAAGACAATCCTAAGTCAAAAAGAATGCTGGAGGCATCACGCCACCTGATCCCCAAACTATACTACAAGGCTACAGTAACCAAAACAGCATGGTACTGGTACTAAAACAGAGATATAGACCAATGGAACAGAACAGATCCCTCAGAAATAATACCACACATCTACAGCCATCTGATCTTTGACAAACCTGAGAAAAACAAGAAATGGGGAAAGGATCCCCTATTTAATAAATGGTGCTGGGAAAACTGGCTAGCCATAAGTAGAAAGCTGGAATGGATCCTTTCCTTACTCCTTATACGAAAATTAATTCAAGATGGATTAGAGACTGTAGCCTGTTAGACCTAATACCATAAAAATCCTAGAGGAAAACCTAGGTGGTACCATTCAGACATAGGGCAGCGGCAAAGACTTCATGTCTGTAAACACCAAAAGCAACGGCAGCAAAAGCCAAAATTGACAAATGGGATCTCATCAAACTAAAGAGCTTCTGCACAGCAAAAGAAACTACCATCAGAGTGAGCAGGCAACCTACAGAATGGGAGAAAATTTTTGCAATCACTCATCTGACAAAGGGCTAATATCCAGAACCTACAAAGAACTCAAACAAATTTACAAGAAAAAAACAACAACCCCATCCAAAAGTGGGCAAAGGATATGAACAGACATTTCTCAAAAGAAGACATTCATACAGCCAACAGACACATGAAAAAATGCTCATCACTGGCCATCAGAAAAATGCAAATCAAAACCACAATGAGACACCATCTCACACCAGTTAGAATGGCGATCATTAAAAAGTCAGGAAACAACAGGTGCTGGAGAGGATGTGGAGAAATAGGAACACTTTTACACTGCTGGTGGGGGATTGTAAACTAGTTCAACCATTATGGAAAACAGTATGGCGATTCCTCAAGCGATCTGTGAACTAGATGTACCATATGACCAGCCATCCCATTACTGGGTATATACCCAAAGGATTATAAATTATGCTGCTATAAGGACACATGCACACGTATGTTTATTGCAGCACCATTCACACAGCAAAGACTTGAATCAACCTAAATGTCCATCAGTGACAGATTGGATTAAGAAAATGTGGCACATATACACCATGGAATACTATGCAGCCATAAAAGGATGAGTTTGTGTCCTTTGTAGGGACATGGATGCAGCTGGAAACCATCATTCTTAGCAAACTATCACAAGAACAGAGAACCAAACACCGCATGTTCTCACTCGTAGGTGGAACTGAACAATGAGATCACTTGGACTCGGGAAGGGGAACATCACACACCGGGGCCTATCATGGGGAGGGGGGAAGGGGGGAGGGATTGCATTGGGAGTTATACCTGATGTAAATGACGAGTAGATGGGTGCAGCACACCAACATGGCACAAGTATACATATGGGGGCAAACCTGCACGCTGTGCACATGTACCCTACAACTTGAAGTTTAATAATAATAAATAAATTAAAAAAAAAAAAGAAAGTGAATATCAAAAAAATAAATAAATAAAATAAAATAAAATAAATAAATAAAAACTATTAGGACTAATAAGCAAGTTCAGCAAGGTTGGAGGATATAAAATTAATATACAAAAATTAATTGCATTTTATAAACTTGCAAGGAGCAATCTAAAAATGAAAATAAGAAAACAATTCCATTCACAATAGCATCATAAATAACAAAACACTTGAAGTACAAAACTTATACACTGAACACTACGAAGCATTGTTAAAACAATTTTTAAAAACCTAAATAAATGGAATGATATCCATCTTGTGCTCATGGATGGAAACACTTAATTTTGTTAAGACAGCAATACTCTCCAAATTGATCTACAGAGTCAAATCAATACCTATCAACATTCCAACTGCTTTATTTGCAGAAACTGATAAGCTGTTCTTAAAATTCATATGAAATTGCAAAAGGCTCCAAATAACCAAAACAATCTTTGAAAAGATTGGATCCTCCACAGTAGGAGGACTCACACTTTCTGATTTCAGAACTTTCTACAAAGCTACAACAGTCAAGACAGTGTCATACTGGCATAAGGGAGACATATAGACCAACGTGTATTGGCCATTTCATTTCCTCTTCTGGAAATTGTCTCTTTACATACTTTGTATTTTTTATGTGTAATCTTTTATCACTGCCTTACTGTTTTTTTTAAAAAATCAGCTTTATTAACAGAAATAGAAAGTCCAAAAATACATCCATACGTCCGTGGTCAATTGATTTTCCAGAGTATCAAAATCATTCCATAGAGAAAGAATAGTATCCTCAATAGAGTGCTGGGATAGCTGGATATCCACATGCAAAGGAATGAATTTGAACCCCTTCCTCACACCATGCATAAAAATAAACACAAAATAGATCATAGACCTAAAGGAATGAACGAAAACTATAAAACTCTTAGAAGAAAGCATGAGTAAATCTTCATGACCTTGGATTTGGCAAAGTATTCTTAGACATGACACCAGAAGCATGAGCAACAAAATGGAAACTCGATAAATTGTACTTCTTAAAAATCTAAAACTTTGTTTGGACACCCTCAAGAAAGTGAAAAAAAAAAAGAACACACCGAATTGGAGAAAATATTTACAAATCATATATCTGATAAAGGACTTGTATCTAGTATATATAAAGAACTCTTACAACTCAATAATACAAAGACTAGTAATCCAGTTTAAAAATGGGCGAAAGATCTAAGAATATTTTTCCAAGGAAAATACACAAATGGCCAATAAGAATGTAAAAATATGCTTGAAGTCACCAGTCATTAGGGAAATGCAAATCAAACTAGAATAAGGTACCACTTCACATCCGTGTTAGATAGAATGTGGAGAAATTGGAACCACATACGCTGCCAGTGGGATGTAATATGGTACAGCCACTGTGAAAAAGTCAGGCATTTCATCAAAGGGTTAGACATAGAGTTGCCACAGGACTGAGGAATTCCACTCTTAGGTATAAATCCCAAAAAACTGAAAACAGATATTTTTTAAAAAACTTGTACATGAATGTTCAACGGAAGGATTATTTAGAATAGCCAAAAGGTGGGAACAACCCAAATGTCCCTCAATGAATGAATGGATAAACAAGATGTGGTCTATCCATACAATGGAATAGTATTCAGCCACAAAAAGGAATGAAGTACTGATACTTGCTATAGTGTGAATGAACCTTGAAAACATTATGCTAAGTGAAAGCAGCCAGTCACAAAAATGCACATATTATGTGATTCCACGTATATGAAATGTTCAGAATAGGGAAATTTATAGAGACAGAAAGTACATTAATGGTTGCCAAAGGCTGGAGGAACATGGGATAGAGAGATGATAGCTAAAAGGTTCTGGGTTATTTTTTGAAGTGATAAAAATGTTCTAAAATTAACCGTGGTGATAGTTGTACATATCTGTGAGTATATTAAAAATCTATGTTAAGAATTTTTCACTTTAAATGGGTGAATTGTACAGTATATGAATTTCCATGTTAATAAGGCTGAGTTTTTTAAAGAGTAAGGCAACGATAAAAGATTACACACAAAAAATACAAAGGATATGAAGAGACAATTCCCAGAAGAGGAAATAAAGTGGTCAATACACAAGACTTGGTATTGACCTCATCAGTAGTCAGAGAAATGTAAAATAAAGCAATGAGACGTATTTTTATTTAACTACATTCTATTGACAAGAATTAAGAAAGAATAAAACATACATATGATGCTTGAAATAATGTAGAGCAATGACCTTTTCACACAATGTTGGGTAGAGTTTAAACTGCTAGTTTTGGAAAGTAGAATGGCCATGTCCATTAAATTTAAAGTACTCATACTCTTTGAATTCATGGCCTCTCTTTTAAAACTCTAGCTCATAGAAATAAAATACGTGTGACTACACTTTAAAGAATCTTTACTGCAGCATTGTTATGACAAAAGGGAAATTAGGTGGAAATGGAAAGATATTTATGATGCTTTATTAACTGCAGAAAGCAATTATTAATTGAAAGTAAGGCCTCAGTTTAATTTTTGTAAAAACAAACAGCAATAAATGTGTATGGGAATACAAACACATATAATATTTGTGTGTTTACGTGAGCATGGAAACACTTGTAGACTAATATATAATTATGTACCTTCCCTTTCTTGAATAGTTTTGTATTGCTTTGCTAGTTTCAATGAAAAGGTATGACATTTGCAGTTTGAACGACAGAAAACATTTTTAATTAACAGAGGGTGGGTGGGGTAATTAGAAAGGGAGGGAACGCGCTAATTTTGCAGCCATTTTGTGTGCGCTCCTCTTACAGACAGTGCGGCGGCCCAGGCGTCGCGTCTACGCGGGGGATTACAGTAACCCGGTTGTCAGTGATGAGTCAGAGTGCGTGGTGCTGATGCTGCTGCCATTTCATCACCTTTGCAAGCGCAGCATCCATCCCTCCGCTATCCGGGCGCCTGGGCCTACCCAGCTTCGGGTTCCCAGGTCAGCGATGCGCTCGCGGCTGAGCTAGATCCTGCCGAGCCGCGCTCTCTGAGGCGTCGGCGGGGCGCCCCCTCCCGCCGTCCCCGGTCCGAGCCAAGGAGACCTGCAGAGCCGCGGCCATGGAGGCCATCTGGCTGTACCAGTTCCGGCTCATTGTCATCGGGGATTCCACAGTGGGCAAGTCCTGCCTGATCCGCCGCTTCACCGAGGGTCGCTTTGCCCAGGTTTCTGACCCCACCGTGGGGGTGGATTTTTTCTCCCGCTTGGTGGAGATCGAGCCGGGAAAACGCATCAAGCTCCAGATCTGGGATACCGCGGGTCAAGAGAGGTTCAGGTGGGAGCGCAGTCCGGGCCCGCAAGCAGTGGGAGGGTCTTCGGGGTTTGCACAGCCTCTGGGGAGAGAGAACTTCCTGGTCCTAGTCGCGGTCCAGGAGGGCAACACTAAGGGTCTTGGGGATTCTACCGAAGCCCACCTTTGGCTAACCCGGAGTTCAGTGCAAGGAAAGAAGTGCCCTGGCAGGGAAGGCCGGTCAATAACACATATTGCTTGCACCTGCCCCTTGGTGGCTAATAAACTAGCTGGAATTGATTTCTGTATCTGTAATTCATCAATCTCAGTCCCTATGTTACGTACTTTCAAAAATGTTCCCAGGTCATCCTAACATAAGTGACAGAGATTTAGATACATAAATACATGTGTATTATGTTTTATTTCCATATCTGTGTGTGTGCACATATATATGCTAACATATGTTCTAACATAAAGGAAATACATAAGATTGATTCCTTCTTGCAACCAGCACACATTCAGTGATCATCTACTATGTGCCAGACTCCGGGCTTGTTTCTGGGAAAACAGTGTGAGGAAACTCACAAAAGGGGATGCCATGTAATCAAAACAGACAAAGCCCCTTCACTCGAACTTCTGTGCTAACATAGTTGAGGGAAATAGATAATCAGCAATTACAAAAATGTGTCTTGCTCATATTTGTATGCCCACTCCCTACTGTAACACTTGGCACATAATGAATATGCTTAATTTCAATGAATTCATTGAATAATCAATGAATATGTTTACTTTCACTCAAAACCCTTTGCTTTTCTTTTGTAGCATGTATGATTTGTAATTATATGTATGAACACAGAGGAGGAAAGGTTAACTGGAGAAGATGAGACCGGATGAGTATGACTGCCCAAGCAAAGACAGGAAATGCCCAGGGATAGGAAACAGGATGAATAAAGACAGAAGTGAGAGGGAACAGAGTGTACACAGAAAACTTTGCAGGGAACAATTTGAACTAAAGTAGAGCAGCAGGAACCAGATCAAGAAAACTCAATAGCCCAAGTTTATGATCATTTGCTCATTTATCTATTGAAAACTAACTAACCATAGAAGATATGGGTTGGGTAATTGAAGAGTGGTAAGGAGAAATAATTACAAACTTAAGTTGCCTCCAGCTCCTCACTTCCACAAACAACACTGTGGAGAATATCCTTGTACAGGTTCACTTTGAACTTGTGATTACATTTCTCCTAAGCAAAGAAAGGTATCTTTTATGTGTTTGTTGGAATTTGTTTCTATATGAACAGCCTGTTCACATCCACTGCTTATTATTTATTGGGCAGTATGGACTTGTAAGAGTACTTTATAGATTAAGAATATTAACGCTTTCCCGTCATGTATGTTGTAACATATATTCCTAGTTTATCATTTGTCTTTTCACATTATTTAAGATTTTTTAATGTAGGGAGGAATTTAAGGTTTATGTAGCCTTATGTCCATGCTTAGAAGGCCTTTGTTACTTTCTTTGCTAAGTACTCACAAACAATTGATTTCTTGAATCAAGCTTTTCACAAATCAAAACCTTTGTTTGTTCATGTCTAATTTTCTGGTAAATCTACCATTCTCCATGAATATTCAAACCTAAGAGACAAGAAATGCTTTCAGTCCCCAGGGCGGATTTGCCTAATTCTGGAGACTTAAACTCATTTGTAAGTTTTACTTTTACCATCATCTAGCTTGGACTGTAGGTCCCTGGACAATGCTTGTTCTGTTAACACTGGGCCATTTTCCCTAAGCTATTGAGTCCTTCATTGTCTATCTTCTTTATCTGAGGAGACAGAAAACCTAAAAATAGACATAGATTTAAAAAATCACAGTAGTCTAAAGCAAGTGATTGCAGAGACAAATAGGTCTATACCCTGTAATAAGCTTTAATACACTGTAAGCAAAGTGCCATAATGTATATTTATAATGAGGCTCCTCAAGTCAAGAAGTTAAAACATGTGAAGTTTCCTCTGATGGCTCCTGAGTTGGCCTCTCTGAAATGTGTCAGGAAATAGGGCTGAGAGGCACTTTGCCTGAACCCTTCACCATCTTTCTTTTTCCATTCCCACAGGCCTGGAAAATAAAAAATAAAATTGTGTTTCTCCTCACAGAAGAGATTGAAGATCCCTGTTAGCTAATAATAATAATAATTAATAATGATAATAATGGAAAGAGAAAAACATGGTAATGATAAATGGAAAAAATGGAGTATATAGCAAGATACCTACTTTAAATATTTTGTTAACTATCATAAATTCATTTCTATGTTTTAAAAATCCTGTTTCAACTACTAGCATTTGTAATGAACTCTCCACGTCACAGAACACTTTAATATCCATTGTTTCATTTTGCCTCATGGTGACACTGTGACTTAGGTATCCTATTTTACAGAAAAGGAAGTCTCTGTCAGTTATTCAGATTTGGGGGGTGGGAGAGTTAGTTGTAGTTTTACCTGAAGGCAAGAAATAGAACTAAGTTATGTCCCAGGGTCACTCTCCAGTGCTGAATCCATGGAAAATGCCTAAAAGTTCATGAGCATTCATTTCTAGAAGATACCCATCTCAAAGTTTTGCCCAATTGGAAACTCACATATTAGTATTACTATTGAGTGCCATTTGTATTCCCTTGTTTTAAAAAAAAAGAAAATCACTTTTATCAAAGGACTGTGTCAATAACCAGGAACACTTGAATATACTGAGTTCATTGACATGCAGAAGTTTGGACACGGCCTTTATTCTTTACTTCTTTCTTGTGTTTTAGATCCATCACTCGCGCCTACTACAGGAACTCAGTAGGTGGTCTTCTCTTATTTGACATTACCAACCGCAGGTCCTTCCAGAATGTCCATGAGTGGTTAGAAGAGACCAAAGTACACGTTCAGCCCTACCAAATTGTATTTGTTCTGGTGGGTCACAAGTGTGACCTGGATACACAGAGGCAAGTGACTCGCCACGAGGCCGAGAAACTGGCTGCTGCATACGGCATGAAGTACATTGAAACGTCAGCCCGAGATGCCATTAATGTGGAGAAAGCCTTCACAGACCTGACAAGAGACATATATGAGCTGGTTAAAAGGGGGGAGATTACAATCCAGGAGGGCTGGGAAGGGGTGAAGAGTGGATTTGTACCAAATGTGGTTCACTCTTCAGAAGAGGTTGTCAAATCAGAGAGGAGATGTTTGTGCTAGTCAGCTCTTTTATTTCCAAAACATGCTCTCCTACTTGAACTGAAAAGTAAGAGAAATAAATAGAATCTTTGTGTAACTGACGAGAACTCAACCTCCATTTGGATACCAAGTGAGCCTCCTTCTCAGGGGGACTCTGACAGACTCATGTGCGGGTGGATGGGGGTGCCTGAGTGCTGTGACCAAGGGACTGAACTGTGGCCCATGCTAGGCAGTGGCTGCTCCATGAGCCCTTTGTGGACCACATGTTAAGGGCCTGGGGTTTAGGAAGCTAAGTCCCAGGAAAGCATACCTACAGACAGGACAACTATTACTTGGTATTTGAGCTCACTTATAGGCCATGAACATAAAGAAACACATAAAGGAGAAAAAAGTATCACATTGGGGACAAAGATTATGAGCTCTACTTATTCCATGAGAATACCCTGCACCAAAGGTGTTTGCTGGGTTTGGTTAAAAGGTACCAATTAGCTTTTAACAGCTTATCTGTAAAATGAGGAACATAGACCAAAAGGTCTGGTGTTCAAGTTAAAATGATGTGAATATGAAAGAAAGGCTATCTACACAGTTATTAGCACATTTGAACACCCTTGTGGTAGAATTACCAGCTGTATGAAACAAATTGTCCCGTGCAAATTACCCTATAACTAGGAAAGGGACAAAGGTAAAGCCCATTCAGGTATTATTGACAAGAGGGCTTTAAACAAGTGAATAATTGCACAACTAAAAAGACATTACAACTGTGTGGGCTATAAGTGTTCTTATCACCGAGACACTGGATTTTTATTGAAAGGAACCACATACAGCAATGGCAATTGGGAGTGGGATAGGGATAAAATACTCACCCCAAAATGACCTTGGCCACCTGTCTGCCGCATACGTACACTGAGCTCCTGTCTACCCAACAGAGTCAGCCCTTAATTCTCAGGTGAACAAACAGCTAACTGCATCAGCAAATTGGAATGGCTGGCTTGAAGTTTCCATTATTTTCTTGAAGAGAGGTGATGCTTTAAATTACTTTTTGGATTGTAGCCAGTTCAGCTAGGCAAAAGCCATACTTTTCACAATTTAAAAAAAACTATTCTGATTAGAGTCAGGTTTCTCATATCCATTGTGATAGGAAGGCCTAAGAATGGCAAATCGCTTTGAGATATAATATTGAACTTCTGTATGAATGTGACTGAATCTGAAAGTTTGGGAATTTGCTTCACCCAGAATAAAGAAGCCAAATCATGAAAATTATGGAAGACTGTTCTGCCACCTGTGCCCCAAGTTGGATGAGCAAACCACTTTGGATCAATTCACAGCATTAATTACAAGTGAACTGATCATCTTCTCTATATTCATTTCACAAGAACTGGCTTAGGTGGGGTAATTAAATTGCCACCTTTATGGTTGTAAAAGACAAAACATGGCAAATTTGATTAACACAAAATTTCATCAACTGCTATACTTAAGTATGTTTAGAAGATTCTGAAAGCAAGATTATCCAGTGGGTAAATGAGAGTTGAGTGGATTCTGTCAGTTCAAAAAAGGAAAGAAACAAAACTTCTCTACAATTTTCTTGACTAAAATTTATTGTATGTACACTATTCCCACTCCTGGCATTTTTTTGGCAGGTTTAAAAATATTCAGCATAAATCCAGCAGAGGTGGCTGAGCTTAATTGCTTAAATAAGTTCTAGAAAATTTAAAAATCATTTTAGTAGAATTCAGTACCGTTGTCACTGCAATAAGTGGGTTTTAGAAAATAAGTGTGAAAAAAATCAGGTGTTAATATACTACTAAGGATAAAGCTTTAGAAGCTATTTTACTACATAGGTAAAGAAAAGATAAACTAACTTGTAACAAAGACCACAACTGCATGTTGGATTAGATTGTCTCATATTTCAGAATAAAATGTACTGTATACTTTTCCTCACTTTGTTGTGCACTGTAATGAAATGTGAACAATGCTTTATTTAGCTGTATGTGAATGAAAATATGCTTGTATTTAGTAAAATGATTGATTATGTGACTGTGAGATTCCAAGTGTGTGTTATAGCTATTTCCAGAATCTGTTACTACAGTGTAGCAACTCTACTACCAAGGATATCAATAAGATGTAACATATACCATACACAATCGTATTCACCATTATCTTAAAGTCAGAAAGAGAATGATTTTTGAAAGTTATCTGATCATTATATCAAAAGTCACTGGGACCTCAGTACTTCCTGGTGAGCCTAGGCAACTTTGAGAAAAGTTGGTTCCTTCAAGCCTAAATCTTCATCGTGGTGATTTTAAATCAAGAATCTTAATTCTGTTGCCAGGTAGTTGATTACAACTATTATATTCCCTGGAAAGTCTTCTTTTTTCCAGGCTAAGTTACCTCAGCTTTTTCAAATCCTACTACGGCATACTTTTTATGCCAGGATCACTTACAGTGTGGCACCGACATAAGAACACAATAGTTTAGCACATTTCCCAGGACTGATAGTACACATGTGGGTGGGGGGAGGGTAAGAAAAAAAGGAAAGATAATAGATTCTGAGTCTGGGCATAAGTAGATAGGTAGGCTAAGTTCTGTACAGCTTTATCACTTTTATAGTTAAGAGGGAATGGAAGGGAGGGAAGGGGAGAACAAGGAAAGAAGAAAGGAAAAAACAACAATGTAATATCCCCTTCTTAAAATGCTCCCCAGGGCTCGATCATTTTTTCTTCATTTATATTAATTCTCTTGGTGGCTTCATTCAGTCCCATGGCTATAAATTAAATCTATAAGCCAATGAGTCCTGGATTTTTATCTTCAACTTGTCTATTTCCCATGGACTCCAGACCCTTATAACCAACTGCTTGCCTGACATCCCCACTTGAATGTCTATCAGGCATCACAAATTTAACATGTCCCAAGTCAGGCTCCTAATCTTCCTCCCCAAGTATGTCCCTCTCATAGTCTTCCCCTCCTCAATAAATGGCAACTTTGTCCTTTCATCTACCTTTGCCAAAAATCTTGGTATCACCCTTGACTCCTTTCTTTCATAGTCCACATCTGATCTATTGGGAAATTATGCTGGCTCTACCTTAAAAGTATAACCAGAATATGACAGCCTTTCACCATTCTCAATGCTAACGCACTGGTGCTGTCCACTATCATTTTTCTGAATTATTGTGATAGCTGGTCTCCCTGCTGCCACTCTTGTCATCTCCCCTTCCCCACCCCTGCCATGCTTGCAGTCTATTCTCTACATAGCAGCTAGAAGAAGCCTGATAAAACATTAGTTATAAGCAATCATCTCCTCATAATTCTCCAGTGGTTACACATTTTACTCAGCTTAAAACCCAAAGTCCTTCCAATGGCCTGCAGAAGAACCCTTGGAAATAAATTCTATCTCCATTTCATCACCTCTGTAACCTCATTTCCTACTGCTAACCCTCTTTATTTTACTCCAGTTGCATGGGTTCCTTTCCTGTTCTTCAAACACACTAAGCACATTCCCACCTCAGGGACTTTGTATTTCCTTTTCCCTCTGTCTAGAATTCTTTTTCCTGAGATATCTGCATGGATTGCTCTCTCACCTTCATCAAGTTCTGGAGCCAGCAGCTTCCAAGAGTTGGAAGCAGTTTCCTCATCCTAGGGAAGACGTGGCTCCAAAAGTCATTGCTGACAGCTCAACCTAGAGTCTTACTCTTTAGTCTTCCCTGGGTAACAATAAAGTGTAGGGCACACAGAAAAGGGAAAGGAAACGTACAAGGAGACAATGAAATCCTGGAGAGTATAGTTTTACAGGATGGCATGAACAGTAGTATCAAAATGCAGCAGCGGATTCAGAAAGATAAAAACTAAAATGAATCCCCAGGATTTGAGAGAACAGGAAGTCATGAGTGGCCTTTGCCAGTATAGTATTGGTGGGATGATTGCTGCCTATATCAAGCCTCTCAGGAACTTGGTGTTCTCAGTTCTGTCAGAGGACCAATTCTCTTCTCTCTTCTCTCTATCCTCTCCTCTCCCTAGACAATCTTACCTACTGTTGTGACTTCAGTTACCATCTTTGCATTGCTGATTCCAAAATCAGGAACTCTAGCTCACTTTTCTGCACGTTATACCAATACAGCCAACTTGCCTAATAAACACAGCCACAAATTTCTCAAAATCAACATATCCAATACTAAAATCAGTGTCTATCAAAATGTGCTCCAACCACCCCAGTCTTCCTCAGCTCTATAAATGACACCACCTGACACCACCGTTCACAGAAATTGGGAGTTATTCTTAAGTCCTCACTCCCCCTCACTTCTCATATCAAATCCATCATCTAGCACTGTCAACTCTAACTTCAAAATATGTGTCTGACCCTGGGCAACATAGTGAGACCCCATCTCTACTAAAAAAAAAATTAGCCCAGCATGGTAGCACATGCCTGTAGTCCCAGCTACAAGGGAGGGTGAGGTGGGAAGATCACTTCAGTGAGCTCTGATCACACCACTGGACTCCAGCCTGGGTGACAGAGCAAGACGCTGTCTCAAATATATATATATATATATATATATAAAATCTGTGCATATATATATAATCTGTGCATATATATATGTATATATATATGTCTGCCATTTTTTCTCCATCTCCACTGATATCACGTTTGTCCAGGCCACTATCAACTCTTACCTGAACTACTTCATTATCTTCCTAACTAGTCTCCCTACTCCTTGTTCCCATTCCCACGATACATTCTCAACATAACACTCAGAATGATCTTTTTACAACATAAGTCAGATCAAGTAATTCCTCTGCTTAAAACTCACTGGTGGTTTATTGTCACATTTAGAACAAAATCCAAATAAACCCTACATTTCTTAACATGGCTCTAAGGCCCTGCATGATCTGGCCTGGGTCTACCTCTCCAACTCTGAGGTCTACAAAAGCAGGAATCTTACTCATCTTGTTCACCAGTATTTCTCCAACTTGTTGCAAATTAGGTGCTTGAATAATCTATACATACTTGAATGAATGATTGTTTTCTTGCTCTACTTTAATCCAATGACCTTGAGTCTTACTTCACATCAGTAAAATACACACATGTCCCTATCTTAAAGCATTACC